TGCCCTTTTCCATTTAGCATACAAAGTTGCTGCCTGTGTCAAGTTTGTTCTTTTTAAAAAAATTGTAAAATGTACATACAAATATGATCATTTTAGCCATTTTAAGTGTATAATTCAGTGACATTAAGTACATTCACAGTACTGTATAAACATCACTACTATCTACTTACAGAATCTTTTCACCACCCTAAATAGAAACTCATTGCCCATTCAATATTATCTCCCCAAAGTCCTTGATAATCTTTATTCTACTTTCTGTCTATGCATTTGTCTATTCTAGATACTTAAGTGGGGTTATACAATATTTGTTTCATCAGAAGTTTATCCCTCTTTCCTGCTGAGTAATATTCCATGATGTGATACACCATAATTTATCCATTCACCTGGACATTTGGGTTATTTCCAGATTTTTGTCTATTATAAAAAAAACTTCTATGAACACTGTGTACACTGGTTTTTGTGTGAACATAAGTTTTCATTTTCTGGAGTAAATACCCAAAAGTGTAATTGCCAGGCTGTGTGATAAGCACACATTTAGTTTGTTAAGAAAATGTCACACTCTTTCCTAGAGTGGCAGTGTCATTGTACATTCTTACCAGCAATGTAAGAATGATTCAGTCTCTCCGCATCCTTGCCAATATTTGGTGACATCACTCTTTTAGCTATTCTGATAGGTGTGTAGTAATATCTCATTGTGTAGGTCAATCACTTTTTTAAACTCACATACTGTATTTGTTTTTTTCTACTTCTCTATTTCCTTTAAGACCAGGTGAGAAACCAAAGCTACTGATTTTTCTTTTATGGTTCTTTTTCACTTTTTGGGGGTGGATGGGGTTAGAGATGGGATAAAACTTGATGTCCAGTGGAAGAAATAAAAGGGACACTAGTATCCAAACTTAGTAAATAATATATACTTAATATTACCTGATTGTGACTAAATGCCTTTACATTCTAAATAAGGTAGCATATTCTTTATAGGCATACCAAAAATGTTTTTACCTCAGGCACTATGAATTTGAAATTTATTACAGGTTTCTAGCCAGGATCAATGTTAACTTTTAGATCCATGTTATTTACACTGTTAGTAGATGTTAGTAACATAAATATTCTGGTTAACTCAGTACTTAATTGCTCCAACTGGCTTAGTATTTTAGGATTTATCTTTTGGGGAGGTGGGATGGGTAGTATTTAGTAAAGAGTTAACTCAGCAGCCCTGCATTGCCCAAACCCTGCACTACTAAAAAGATCTTCAGGACCTTCCCTTGACCAGTTGGTTCCTTTGAGATAACCTTTGAGCCCTCGGAATATCCTACAAAATAAGAGTGTCTCTGTATGCCTGAGGCTTTGGGCCATAATAGACATTTTATACTAACGTGACTTAGGGTGAATGCCTGTTATTGTATGCTTGGGATTTTGGGCTAAACTATATCAGTTTTGATCTCTTGGGGTGGGAGAGTGGTGGCTGGAGTCTGAGTACCTTAAGGATGGTCACATTCCATGCCTATGCAAGTGACTCTCCAAACCGTGGACACCACTGCTCAAGTGAACAACATCATTTGGAAATACATCATATGTACTGTCACACACTGTTACTGGGAGAATTAAGTGACATTCATGTGACTCTACTAAAAGAGAACTGGAAGCCTGCCCCTAATTTCTCCTACATTGTACCCTATGTGCCTTTGTCCTTTGTTGATTTTAATTCATATCCTTTTGCTATAACAAACCATGTACTTAATAGCTTTTCTGAGTACTCTGAGTCCTAGTGAACCACTGAATGTGAGGGTGATCCTGGGGACCTCTGACACAGGCTCTGAGTCAAGAGAAGTTCCAATTATTAGAGCTATCAGCTGAAGATGACAAGAACATTTTTCTGAGTGCCTATCATAAAACACAGCACTATGGTAAGAACTTTACATAAACTATCATCTAAACCTCAAAATAAAACTATGAAGTAGGTATCATTATGTCCAATTTTCAGATGAGGAAACTAAGGATCAGAGAGGTGACTTCCAAACCCTCACACAGCTAAATAAGCAGAGTGCCCAAACTGGAGTCCAGATCTTCTGATGTTAAGTGTAAAGAATTTTATTTCCTTTACACCTCTCACTACATAAGAGACAGTGCAAAACTTCAAAAATTTTTAATAAAATAAAAATTGTGGAAAAAAGGGAATAAAGGGTATAGAAGGAAATTCAAGGAGACAGCAGCAAAGAAATGTTCTGTAAACAGTTCCTTTTAAAGAACCTGCTAGGACATAGGACAGCTTGGTTAGTTGGTTGGTTGGGAGGAAGAGAAAAAGAAAAAGGATGAAGGGAAAGAGAGACTGTAAGTGTGAAGGAAAAACCTTCAGATTAATGTAGGTGGTATAGTGTATATGGAGGCAACAAAACAAAGACCAGGAGAAATGATATACACTTTTTATGAGTAGGAAATTTTGAGGTTGAGATTTTATAACCAAGGGAGTAATTACCTCGAAAAGAAAAAACACTTTTGCAATAAAAAAGAATTCTCTAACGTAAATTTATCATTTTCCTGTTTTGTTTGATTTGGTCTTCCTATATACTTTAATCTCAGCTAAATAGACATAACTATCATCTAAAGAAGAAACAATTTACTTCTCTAGGGAATTAATTACCTTAGTGGCAGGTATACGTATCTGCTAACTGCTTTTTTTGCTTTTTTAATGAGATAAAATGCTGTTTTCCAAGTGCAGTAAAATAATGATTATAAAATATAAAATACATTAAAATTAATATTTATTCAGAGAAATATTACCTTGAGACAAAAGATCCCTCAGTTACTGTGTTAGGAGGTTTAGAGAAACTGAGAGTAAATATAGTTATGTTTTTCATTTATAATTTCTATAACTTAATATATATTATGTTAATAGTTATTTATGTTTTAATTATTATTTTTCTATCACTTGAGCATCTCCTCCCCAAATAAAATATCACAGGTAAGAAAAATCCAAGTATTCTTAGAAAATTTTAGAGATATTAAAAATACCTGTTTTTCTTTATTAACTCCAGACATGAAAAGTTGTTTGTATTTGTCCTTAAAAGCAAAGTTTAGAGCCTGTGTTGGAAAATATCGGATGACATTTGCTAAATTGCCACGCCAATAGCTGAAGAAACCTACAAAAGAAAACATACTAAATATAAACTTACATTATTATTAAATAATTTTTCTGTTCTAACAAACTTAGCTATTCAAACTACCTAAAATTTACAACCTTTCTCATGAGAAAAATAAAGTTTGTGTACCTCCACTGAATAAAAAAAGCACTGTTAACTGCACGTACCCCATTCCAATTTTGTTAATTTCCAATAACAGCCTTGAATATCCAAAAACCTATTGAAAACTTTTACCACCTGAACATAGGGCTCTTTAATAGTAGAAAAACAGAACTCACCAGTATTTGTCAAAGAAGCTAGTAATCCTTAGCCTCATTTCCTAACCATGATACAGAATCCCTCCCCTCTGAGATAAGGCTATCAGAACAAAATTGGTTTGTATACACACTTTTGAGATAAGAAAAGGATAAAAGAGTCTAAAGCATCTTTACCTTTCTGTTCTGGAATCTAGCCAGAAAAGGAATGAACTGACATTCAAGGTAGTATCCAGAGGCCTGACAGAGATCTTCAAATCTCCATGGATTGATCAATCCTTAAAATTTAGTATTGTGTTACCCTTGTAATTCAGAGCTACTTCTGAGTTGCCCTGGAATACAACAGGCTAGCTCTTCAGTAGCCATAGTTGTTTTTACTAGATTGTAAACTGTCAAATGGTTGACCCTGCTACTCCAAATAGGATGCCTCTAGTCTCCGCCTGAATACCCAGAATCAGTCTTCTAAAGATAAAGATTTAAATGAAAATAATGTCAATTGACTTGGCTGGTGCTCAGAAACTGGAAGTTAAGAAACAAAAGTAAGGATATTTATTTATTATTTATTAAATAAGCATATTTTGTGGGAAAAATACAGAATCTTGGTAAATCCAAAGCTGAATATACAGCAATTGCACAAAGACAATTAATAAGCACATTTAATGCCAAGAAATAATCTTAGTAGTCACTGCTGACTCAGTCTTTACTAGGGCACTTAAGATATAATGGTAATAGCTACCATTTCCTGAGCATTTAATGTGTGCCAAGCAATGGCAAAAGTATTAGATGCACATTTCATTGAATCATCACACTATGCTTCCAATATATGTTCTATAGTATCCATTTTATGCACACACAAACTGAAACTTTAAAATGCTTAAAAACTGTCCAAGGACGCAGTTATAAATAGCCAAGCTAGGATTTAGAATTAGGTCTTCTTCTATCTGACTCCAAAGCTCTATGCCAACTTTGGTTTCTGGAGAAACAAATCTTAGAAAAGTCCTAAAATTACTAATGTATGATAAATAAAATTCTTATAAAAAGGCAACTAATCACTCTAAAAAATTTTGAGGCAGCATTAACAAAAATAACGATACTACTTCTAAAACCGCTTTTTATTCATTTAATCCTTATAATCACCAAAGAGGTACGTAAGTATTATCCTCTCCATTTTAGAGATGAAGAAATAAGCTAAAAACAACTGCTAATACAGAGTGCAGTTAAGTGGCTTAGGCCACTTCATCAAAAGGTGTAGATCTGGAATTCAAACCCAAGCAATCTGGCTCAACAACTCAGTCCCTTAACTACAATACTTTAATACCACAAATACTTTAATCATACAAATATTTTCTGTACTAAGAAAGAAAGATCAATAGTTTTAAATGAAAATCTTAAAACATGAGAAATGTAAGCAAATGTAAAGAAATTTCTTGCTAGTTAATGTCACTAAATTAATAAAGGAGGTTGGTAAGTCTGAGTTTTGAAGGTATTTTCAGTCATTTTAAAATTCTTCATCTTTAATAAAAACTTTTAAGAACATAGCTAAGCATTTGGAAGAGAAACTGAGAGTAAAATAGATTTTGTAAATATACCAAAGAATAAGATTTGATTTTTAGACTATGGTTTATAGTACCACAATGACAGGTTACTGGTAGAAGAGATAGTAGACTTTAATAAGATCAAGAAGATCATTTTGGCTGGAGAATTGTCAGTCTGATCAAATGAGATTTAAACAGAAATTATCATTTGTTTAGGGGAAAAAACCCTAATACACTAAGTTTAGAAAAAGTGTCATACATCAAAAAGGTATTCGAATTCCCATTATATATATGGCTATTAAATATTAAGTCATTTGTAAATGGTTGATTTTAGGAGGATGTTATTGACATACTATGGGTTTCAGATTATGAGTTATTGTAATCTATAATTATGATGACAGTATGGAATTAATATTTATTTCACAAAGAGTGTCATATATAAGAGTAGTATAAAGGTTTGTAACTTTGGCTGATGTATTGAATATAAACAGAAGATTGTGATGACAAAGACCTCTGGAAGTTAACGTGAGGACTGTGCAGTACTAGTTTATGACTAAAGGGGTTTGTTAGAGTTGGTTAAGTATGTGTTCCTTGTGGCAAAACTGCATTTGCATGAAAAAACCTAGAGGATTCATCAAAACAAATGTCAGGTCCCAATGTAAATCTAGAAACAAATCCCCAGTTTTACAGGAAAACTGGCAGCTCTTAATGAGTTATGTCTGAAAAAATAAAATCTCAGATACATAAAATAATTTTGCATATGTTGCACAGAATTCATGGATTTCTGAAACTACAAATGTCAGGTTAAGAACCCGTTTTAATTTCTTTTTCTATAGATCACAATTAGAAAATTCTTACTCCCTTGTTCGCATCTCACTGTTGTACCATGCTTTTAGGAACCTCAATGTCCTTGCTTAGAGTGCCAAGGGAAAGGAACCTAAAGTGGAATTCTGACTGGATTATCTATAGAAATACTATTTCTGGAGGCCAGGTTTCATGGTTTTATTCAACTATACTTTAGGTATACTATGTACTATGCAGGTTCCCTCAGCCAAATCACAAAAATCTACTCATGTAAGGCAAGTTTATCCAAAATATACTCATTTACAAATGAACATCAGGAATACATGTTTGTAAACTCAGGAATGAATACATAATGCTTGAAGAATTAAATTTATTGAGCACTAACTATGCAATAGACACATAATTGAGTATTTTATAAGCATTATCTTGTTAAACCCTCACAACCCATACAGGGTAGATACTATTATTACACAGTATACAACTGAGGAAAGAGGCTCAGAGAGGTTAAAGAAAAACTATTGAAGGTTACAAGGTAAGGCAAAGGCTGGGAGACTTGATTCCAGACCCAGAGATACTAAATCTCTGCTGCCTCTATATAAATATCCATTCTAGATAAAATTAGTAGTATTGTTTGGTCAGAATAAAACAAGGAAAAAGGAAGAGTGATTTAAATGGTAGAGTATTTTGACTCTCTAATCATACAGGACAGTTTCCTAATATATAATCACGAAACTGGTAGAGAAAAACATAGTTCTCTTTCTCTGCTAATAGTAGAATATCTAAGTTTTTTACTTGACTAAGAAATTTACTTAATTACTAAGAAAAAATAACCTCTTCAAATTGAAGAGTGAGAAAAAGTACTCTGAACTCAATTCTGAGAAAAAAATTAAGAATTAAAGTAGATCTGATGGAAAAATGGGAGAAAATTACTGTACTGGCCAACTTTTTAGCCAAGAATGGGAATGCTAGCCATGTTTGGGTATATATACTAGACTAGTGAGCCCCAACATGTTTGGGTAGTATGTCTATCAGTAAAAAAATACATAAGCATGACTCTCAAATATATATATATATAAAAAATTAATTATATGCCTTTGCTGTTATACTGTCTTATTGTGTAAATTCATAAAATATACCCCAAACAGAAATTAAAAAAGGAGATAAAAGATTCTTTATTTAAAACCTTTTATCTGGTACCTAGTGCATAGCTGACCTGCTGGAAATAGCGCGGTAGGAACAAAGTTCTTGGTCTTATGGAATTTACATTGAACAAACAAATGTCACGTGTTCCTAAGAACTACATAAATTTATAGGGTGGCCATTAGAATAAACATAGTATGTGGAGATGGAGAATGACAAAAGACTATTTAGATTGGGTGGTTGGGGAAAACTAGCCATGAGATATTAGAGCATAATTGAGCATTTATTTGAACAGTTAAATGATATTTTTAGATATTTTGCTAATCATGATGTTTTTATACCATCATTTGCTATTATCTCAAGACACCCTTAAGGTGAGATTTATTCTTAGGTATAGTGTACATGAATCTACATTTCAAATAGTCTCTTTGATACTTTCAAATATTCAAAGTCTTCTCTCTATGAATCCAAATGAGCAAGCATAAACTATATTATTATATAAGAGTTGAGGAAGGGTGCCTGTAATCCCCTCGCCACCGCATAACTCCTACTCTTTTTTCAGAATGCCTTAGTGTTCTGTGATATGAAACTGACACTTTGCCCAAGTATAGGAGCCAATGCCTATTCATATACTACATATCATAAACTTTACTTTCCCATTTTATTTAAAGTGAATACCTAATACTTCCTTTTCATACCCCAAAACATTGTCTTCAAAATATAAAAAAAAACCCTCACTGCTCTATCCTTCAGAGAAGTAAGTTTGGAGACGTTCAGATTAAAGAGAGCTGATGAACTCATGGCCAGAAACTCCTAAAAGAGAAAAAGAATTCTGGTAGTTGCTTAATATGAGACTGCACAGATCAGATCTTTAGAAAGCTATGCTAACCATATAATAAATGAAACAATTATTTTAATTAAAAATATACTTGCCTTTGCATATTTTGCTCAGTGAAAAATCATAGCATAAACACCAAAAAGTTAACTGAGGTGATTTTTTTGCTTTTTGCTTCTCCATATTTTATAATTTTTTATAAATAAACATGCATTACCTGTGTAATACAGGCCTCAACAGTATTAAAAGTACACATACAAAGCCTGAAGGTCTTTCAACCAAATAAAGTAGAGCAAATCTTTAAGAATAGTATTAGTTGGGATAAATCCAGAGCTTTTATAAACCAAGGGAAGCTTAAGAAAAGTATCAAAGATACCCAAAGAGATAATTAAAACTATATTCAGAGCAATAATGAAGAGATCTACCCTTGGGGTGGAAATAAAGCTAAGATAAGGTAAGAAGATAGTGAGAGAGCATCTAGTTGTGCCTTCTTAGTTCAAGTCTCTTAGGCTCATTCCATGATGCCTAAAGAAAAGAAAATTCATCAGTAAAATTAGAACAATTTTGAAATATAATAGAAACTTCAGAATACCTGAGATGGAGATGGGTCTTGACTTTCAGAAAAGGGACAGAAGGTAAATTCCAGAATAATAATCTCAGAATATGACTGCCTAGTAAATTTCCAGAATGATCTAGCATAGTGATTCTCAACCTTACCAGGCTCAAGTTGTCTATGCAATAAGTATTTTATAAGGCTTCCTTTATTATCCAGAAATGGAATTCAATGACAATGACCTCTTCACCAATTGAAAAAAAATCAATATAATGCCCTCACTGCTTTATGGAAAGAGAAAATAGAGGATTTATAATAAAATAGTTATTTTAATAATGACGTATCACCTCACCCAGAGTTAGAATGGCCACTATCCAAAAGACAAGAAATAAGTATTGGCAAGGATGTGGAGAAAAGGAAACCCTCCTACACTGTTGGTGGGAATATAAGTTTGTGCAGCCACTGTTGAAAGTTGTATGGAAGTTCTTCAAAAAACTTATAAATAGAAATTCCATACAACCCAGTAGTTTCACTTCTAGGAACTTGCCTGAAGAAAACAAGGTCCCTGATTTGAAAAGATATATGCACCTCTATTTATTGCAATGTTATTTACAATAGTCAAAATATGGAAGCAACTAAAGTGTCCACCAATAGATGAATGGATAAAGATGATGTACATATGCACAACAGAGTATTACTCAGCCGTAAAAAAAAAAGAAAGAAATCCTGCCACTTGTGACAACATGGATGGACCTAGAGGGTATTATGCCAGTGAAATCAGCCAGGCAGAGAAAGACAAATGATTTCACTTACTAGTGGAATCTAAAAACAAAACAAAACAAAATGAACAAAATAGCAATAGATTCAAAAGACATTGAGAAATGACTGGTGGTCACCATGGGGGTGGATTGGGGAGGGTGGGTGGATGGGTAGGTTCAGCAGGATAATGAGGCACAAAAATTTAATCATAACATAAGTTGGTCACAGGGATAGAAGTGCATGGAGAATAAAGCCAATGATTCTGTAACATCTTCTTTGTTGACAGATAGTAACCACACTAGTTGGGGTAAGGATTTAATAATGTGTGTAATGCTTGTGTTGTATACTTGAAACCAATATAATATTGTGCACCAACTATACTTCAATTAAAAAATATATACTTGAAATAAGTTTTTAATTGAGGTATTATTGATATATGATCTTAGATTGGTTTTAAATATACAACACAGTGGCTCAACAGTTACCCATATTATTAAATCCTCACCCCCTCTAGTGTGGTTACTATCTGTCACAAAGAAGATGTTACAGAACCACAAAAAGTTTATTTTAACTAGTAAATCGGTAAGGCATGACCACACCATAGAGATAATAGTCAGATGCTTGCTTCTATTTATAATGAATCAATTATATTTAAGATACACATATTTTGAAAAGTGCTTAATACATTTGTACATATATGTACACAATCATACCACAAGTTACAAATGCAAATGATTTAATAAATGGTGACCAAATGCCACAAGCAGAATTGTGACATGATTTTTCACAACGACCACCTTTCAGTAAAATTCTGAACAAAACAAAGTACCATCTTCCCTCTACTTACACGGCAGCTACATTACCGGAATCAATGTATGACAGAACCATCCCCCCAGATACATTGTTAGATAAATCAGTGTTAGGCTCTAGGATAGTTCTTAAATAAATCAGTGTTAGGTTCTAGGATTAGATAATCATAAACACGATTTACAGCTATATGATTGTCCATTAGTCATTCATGAGTCAGTCCATGAGGTTGTAGGATAAGTCTTCCTTGTGTAGAACTGGCTATGTAAAGCACAGAATGTTTAGCTTTTCATATCATTGCAATTAAGGATTATATCCCTCTATTTCTGTGCTGTACAAAAAATTCCCCACAAGTTTCCAAAATACCCCCTAGATGGCAATATTATACCTGTTGTGAATTACTAAGAGCAAAGACTATATCATGGTGTATTCACAGCAAGGCCTTGTATGCAAGAATCTTCTTAAAGTTCTGCTTATCATCATCATCTCCTCTTGGAAGGTAAAGAAAGAAGAGACCAGAATACTATTCAGAATGATGATCACAATTTACAAGAGTCATTATGAATGTATTTAGGTTTCAATATTACAAAAAAGAATTTGAAATATAAATTAGCACTGGTTAGCACAGTCTGCCCAGAATATTTAACTTTACCTGACTAAATAATTTAAAGCAGATTAGCTATTCATAAAAAGGCCCCTACTTCTCTGAAGAGGTCTTAGAAATATAAGCCAACATTCCTATGTTTCCTGTAAAAACCTTGGAGGAAATGAGAAATCTGCTTTGATAAAATAAATGGGAGTGGAGAAATTTGGACCACTTACTATAAAGATCTGAGCTCATCTCCCAGATGGACATTCTACATTCACAGTTTAGAAAATCTAAGAGTTGATCCTAAATACTCTACCCAACAGGTCAAGAAGAGTTGTAACCACATCCCAAAGGAGAGAGTGTTCTTTTATAAGAGAGTAATCTGCCCTAGATTTAGAAGTGTAAGAAAGGACTTCACTGGAATTAAAGCCACTTACTGTTCAGAATAAACAAGAAATAGGCCCATTTCCTTCTTAAAGTTCATAAAGAGGTTTCAGCTGAATGCCACTATACGTGGACTATAGAGTTCTGCTAAATTTATCCTTTTATCCACTTAATTAATTTAGGAGCCCTTCTGCAACAGAAAGTTATTAAATGGATTAACAAAGCACTTTTGTAATTACTCCTTGAATTTCATTAATGGACAAAAATTCAATGAAAAAAAAATTTAAGAAAGACAGACTGATGTAAAAAAATTGTCTTTAAATATGGAGGTTCCTCACAATGCTCAAAATAGACTTACCAATTGACCCAGGAATTCCACTTCTAGAATTTACCTTAAGGATGCAGCACTCCAGTTTGAAAAAGACAGATGCACCCCTATGTTTATTGCAGCACTATTTACAATAGCCAAGAAATGGAAGCAACGTTAAGTGTCCATCAGTAGATGAATGGATAAAGAAGATGTGGTACATACACACAATGGAATATTATTCAGCCATAAGAAGAAAACAAACCTTACCATTTGCAACAACATGGATGGAGCTAGAGGGTATTATGCTCAGTGAAATAAGCCAAGCGGAGAAAGACAAATACCAAATGATTTCACTCATCTGTGGAGTGTAAGAACAAAAGAAAAACTGAAGGAACAAAACAGCAGCAGAATCACAGAACCCAAGAATGGACTAACAGTTACCAAAGGGAAAGAGTCTGGGGAGAATAGGAGGGTAGGGAGGGATAAGGGCTGGGAAGAAGAAAGGGGGTATTATGATTAGCATGTATAATGTGGGGGGTGGGGGAAAGAGGGGGGCTGTGCAACACAGGGAATACAAGTAGTGATTCTACAACATCTTACTATGCTGATGGACAGTGACTGTAACGGGGTTTCTGGGGGGGATTTGGGGTAGGGGAAAGCCTAGTAAACATAATGTTCTTCATGTAATTGTAGATTAATGATAACAAAATTTAAAAAAATTGTCTTTATGTAACATTTTGATATTTTTCTCATCTTGGATTTTTTTGCATTAATCTTGATTTTTAAAAATACTGCATTATTTGTCTTCACTGAGTTCTTTTGGTGCCTTTCTCAACTCTGTGCAGAGGTGAGTGACTCCAGGTCCCAGCCCTGGTCTTCAGTAGTTTTCAAGAATGAACAGGCACACTGGGAGGCCCCAGTGCTTCCATATTTGGAATAGTTCTCTTAAGTGATATTTCAAAAAATATTTAAGTGACTTAAAGCACAGCTAACATACTGCAAAGTGCCTAAAGGCATCTCCCCCAATGCTGGGAGACCAACCACTTTCCTTTTGAGTCAGGGGCAGGTGCACCACAGTGCAAATCCTCTGCAAAGAAGAAATTTAGGGAAGACAGTGGTCTTCCTGCACCGGGACTAATCACCAGTAGGCCTTCTTGGCCTTGTGAAAGCTCTTAGATTGGTTAAGAAACTGATTATAATAAAGTGAAGCAACAAACATGACGGGCAGATAACAGCCTAGGTCCCCGCAGTCGTTCCCTCCCGCCCCACTGTTTTCTGGTAAGCTGACGCAGTAAGGGGAGAAGCTGGCGGGCAGCCTCGCATACGCACCCTGCTCCTGGGGAATCCGCACCAGGCAGTCCACCATGCCTTTGTACTGTGCCTCGGGACTGATCTGCTTGGATGATGCCTGCACCTGCAGCAGCAGCTTTACCCGCTCGATGGGCGCCACCGCCGTCTTGGACACAGCCGCCGCGACCCCGCCTGCGAGCAGGTCCTTCCCGAAGGACGCGGCGTCAAAGAGCAGCTTTTCCGCCTTCTTCTCAGGCCGCTTCTTCGGAGGTTCACCCTGCATGGTGGGATGACGGACGTAAAAACAGGTAAGAGCAGCTCAAAATCACCGCAGGAAGGGAGGACGAAAGGAAGCGGAAAACCGCCCCCGCGCAGTCCTAGCGGGAAAGTGGCGCTCAGGATGCCGGGAGACCAGCACGCCAGGGGCGACCCCGTGGAGCTGCGCAGGCGCTTCCAACGGCCTCCGCCCCTTGGCGCCAGCCACGTGCCTCCCGACACGTGGCCCTTGGGTGTGTGGACCTATCTTTGTCAGTCTCAGTGCCTGGACCTCATTGCTACGGGCAGCGTCAGAAGACTGCGGGTTCTGAGAAAGGGAGGAGAGGGTCCCGGGGACCATATTCTGTATAACGGTATTTAGCAAACTATAAAGCAGTTAGGCCAATAGTGTGATTCTAACCGAGTTTAGTCTTAGTTCCAAGGGTTACCCTTCAAAAGTCTTAGAATTGTTTTAATTTCTGCTCCTTTCATTTAGCAGATGTCGTTTGTCTATTTTCTGGTTTTGCTGATTGTATCCCCATAGTATAATTCAACATATTTGCTTTTCTCTTGTTTTTTATTTAAACCAGCTGTTTTGTCAGAGCAGTGGTTCTCAATCCAGACAGCACATTCAAAGGACACAGGGGTGAGCTGTTTCATTTTATAGTTGGGCTTAAGGAATTCCTATGTGCAGGGTTGAGAACCAATGACTTATTCTAGAGAATAGTTCACAACTTTATTTCAGGAATGCATTTCACTCTTAAGTCATTTAAGACTACAAAGAAGCTTCTTGTTTTTGTGTGATTGGTGTTGGTATTCACTGTTTCTGAAATGGAAACAAAATTAAAAATATTCATTTAAAATACTAATAAACCCATAACATAACATTTTAGAATAAATACTTTAAAAACAAAGAATAGACAAGGCTTGTTTTAAATTTTTGAAAATCGATTTAATTTCTGGCCTAATAGAAGAGTTGGATTTACATGACTGCTTTTGCAGTCTGTTGCAGTGACACACATCATATCACTGCTGGAAAACTCCACTGTACGCTAATGAGAGATCGAGTGAAACAGGCAATTAATATTTTAGGAATATTAGGAAAAGTTTTGACCTGATTGAATTTCAAAGGTCTAGGTGGCATCCTTATATGCCCTATACCACCCTTTTAACTCATCTGCAGGCTTATCAGTTCAGGTTTGACTTCAGTCTTGAAGCAGCTTTAAAACATGAGATGAGTTACTTTTTTTTAACCTTAGTTCTAATTTTTTCTTTATCATCTTAGGAGGTGTAGTCAACACTTTCAATATTACTTGTCACTAGTTAAAAAACAAATATTTAGGCCAGAGGATTCCAGAGCAGGAATTTTAATATTTTGATGACCTCACATAAAACCAGTTGGCAAGGCCTTCTGCTATCATGTTTGGTGCTACCTTCCTTTCCACTGTGGCTCACTTGACTCTTAACTCGTGGTTCGGCATGATTCTCCATTTTACAAGATGCTGCCGGATTAATGTTTCTCAAGAAATTGCATTAATCGTTATTTATAGGTTTAACAAATTTAAAGTCTTCTTGTTACATCCACTTCAAAATCTATTGTGAGATCCATTTAAAATTCAAGAAATGACTGGCAATTTTATCTGCAAAAATCTGAAAAATGAAAGGTTTGTTTTCATAAGAGAATTTGAAGCATTAACAAGCACACAGGGACAAATTTAAGGGGGGGATTACTTGAATCACACTTTATAGACAATATTATCTTGTAAAGTGCTAAGAGAACTCAAAGGAACCACCTCTCACATCACAGGAAACAAGTATCTCAGGACAGAAACCCAGTATTCTGCATCCCAGGGTTTTTTTCTTCCTTTCTTATCTCATTTTTCTCACACCCCCCTAGATGACTCTAGTTAATAGTATTGATAGCATATTCCTTTATGATATCCTCAAACTTATTTCTGACATGTATTCATTGATAGAAGACAGTAAAAGTGGAAGCACTTAAAACAGCTTTTTTACCTTAAGAGCTTTGAATTAGTTCAACAGACTTGAGCAGAAATGTTTATTTTAACTTGCTGCATTGTATTTATTGATTTAGGGAACAAAAAAGTTCTGGTGTTACATGTTGATTTAAAAAATACAGCACAGCATCTCTGGGCCTTTGCACTGCTCACCCTGCTTTCCCTAAAAATCACCGTGGTTAGTTACCTCACATCAGGTCTGGGGTCACATCAGCAACTCTTTCCCTGGCCACCTTACCTCCCACACTTTGTATCTCATTTTCTTACTTCACTTTTTTTTTTCCTACTTAGCTTTTGTCAACATATTTTGCTTTAATGTCTTATATGTGGTCTGCCTCTCCCACTGAAACATAGGCTCTGTGAAGGCAGGGATTTTAGCTAATGAGAGATCGAGTGAAACAGGCAATTAATATTTTAGGAATATTAGGAAAAGTTTTGACCTGATTGAATTTCAAAGGTCTAGGTGGCATCCTTATATGCCCTATACCACCCTTTTAACTCATCTGCAGGCTTATCAGTTCAGGTTTGACTTCAGTCTTGAAGCAGCTTTAAAACATGAGATGAGTTACTTTTTTTTAACCTTAGTTCTAATTTTTTCTTTATCATCTTAGGAGGTGTAGTCAACACTTTCAATATTACTTGTCACTAGTTAAAAAACAAATATTTAGGCCAGAGGATTCCAGAGCAGGAATTTTAATATTTTGATGACCTCACATAAAACCAGTTGGCAAGGCCTTCTGCTATCATGTTTGGTGCTACCTTCCTTTCCACTGTGGCTCACTTGACTCTTAACTCGTGGTTCGGCATGATTCTCCATTTTACAAGATGCTGCCGGATTAATGTTTCTCAAGAAATTGCATTAATCGTTATTTATAGGTTTAACAAATTTAAAGTCTTCTTGTTACATCCACTTCAAAATCTATTGTGAGATCCATTTAAAATTCAAGAAATGACTGGCAATTTTATCTGCAAAAATCTGAAAAATGAAAGGTTTGTTTTCATAAGAGAATTTGAAGCATTAACAAGCACACAGGGACAAATTTAAGGGGGGGATTACTTGAATCACACTTTATAGACAATATTATCTTGTAAAGTGCTAAGAGAACTCAAAGGAACCACCTCTCACATCACAGGAAACAAGTATCTCAGGACAGAAACCCAGTATTCTGCATCCCAGGGTTTTTTTCTTCCTTTCTTATCTCATTTTTCTCACACCCCCCTAGATGACTCTAGTTAATAGTATTGATAGCATATTCCTTTATGATATCCTCAAACTTATTTCTGACATGTATTCATTGATAGAAGACAGTAAAAGTGGAAGCACTTAAAACAGCTTTTTTACCTTAAGAGCTTTGAATTAGTTCAACAGACTTGAGCAGAAATGTTTATTTTAACTTGCTGCATTGTATTTATTGATTTAGGGAACAAAAAAGTTCTGGTGATTTACATGTTGATTTAAAAAATACAGCACAGCATCTCTGGGCCTTTGCACTGCTCACCCTGCTTTCCCTAAAAATCACCGTGGTTAGTTACCTCACATCAGGTCTGGGGTCACATCAGCAACTCTTTCCCTGGCCACCTTACCTCCCACACTTTGTATCTCATTTTCTTACTTCACTTTTTTTTTTCCTACTTAGCTTTTGTCAACATATTTTGCTTTAATGTCTTATATGTGGTCTGCCTCTCCCACTGAAACATAGGCTCTGTGAAGGCAGGGATTTTTAGCTGTTTTGTTCACTGCTGTATCCCTCGCATCCAGAACAGTGCTTGGCAGAGTAGAAATTCAGTAACTGTATGTTAGATGAATGCATGAAATGGCACACAACTGCAAATAAACTTCCAAACCATCTTTATTAAAAACTATCAATGCAGTACAAAAATAGCATCAATTATATAGAATACAGAAATACAACTTTGTAAAATTAAATTATTTTCACACAGTTTGTGTATAGATTAAAGTCTTAGTAACATATAATAATACACTTTAAAATATCCTAAGTATAAATCCTTGTTCTCAGAAGTGTTTAGTGTTGGATACTTTTTTGCAGCTTCTTTCCAGTATTTTGTACAGCAGCATGTATGATTTAGCTGACTCCTTGGTTATCAACTAGTGGATATTTATTAATGTTAAACGGTTTCAGTAGTAATAGCTAATGCTTTCACAGCACATAACAGGTGCCAGGACTATTTAGAGGGAATTCACATGGACAACAAATACTTATTCACAATATTATTTTTCAAGAATGTTCAAAGCAGACAAACCTAGTAAATTGGTTCACAGCGTTTCCCTTTGTATTAGAGATGTGGAACTGCAAATTTACTATCTTGCCAGTATGCATCATCAACACTTCCTTGGCACCATAAGAAACTCTCCCTTACTAAGTACAGAAGAAACAAACAAAAAGAGACTAAAGAGGGGGTAGAGTCTAAAATACAGTTTGGGGACAGTGATAAGACAGTACTTGGTATTTTTTAAAATGGTAATTGTAGAATCTTTTGCACTTCTAGTCTTTGGTGAAAGGGACCATTTTCAGGATGCTAATAAAATCCAGCTTAAGAATGTTTCTGCATCTATTAAAGCATACCTCTGGGGCATCTGCACTATCACTTTGTCCCTCTTTGTTTAATAAAGTGGCAGATAGGTACTTACTGTCCAACAGTCAGATTGATCTACTTTTAGATATAAATCTGAACATATTTGGAAAAATGGGCAGCTAAGTTTACTTACAAGGCTTACTTCAATATCTACTTAGAGATGAAAACCAAGATAATGTCTGGTTTTATTAAAAATGCAATGTCTCTGCAACATAGACATTACATTATGGCAAATGATTTCCCCCTAATTGAGATCGGTAGTCCTCTTTGTCTTCTTATTTCAGCTTTTGAGCAGTGGTCTCATTAGTCCTTGACACCAGGAAAGCAGTTCAACTGAACAAATTTTCATCAAATGAAACAAAAAAAGTCCCTTATCATAAAACCTCAAGTTTTAGTTTAGTCTGTTTGAAAATCTATGGTGATCAGTATCTGCATTAAGAACTCTCAGTAATTAAAAATAGCTCATGGTGTTTGGGGGATATACCAAGAAATTTAAGACATTTAGTAAATACTACCAAAGTGCCTTAATGCCCGTAATATATGTACATATTTAAGAGTATTTAAGAGTATTTAAGAGTCTATCTACCATGCGACTAATAATTGTGACCTTAAGGATAAATCAAGCCATTTTCTACATTTCAAGAACCAGGATTTTCTGCCCTGACCTTAATGATAAAGTTAAGGCCCACAAGGCATTAATGGGACAAATACAGTGCTTTGCATATTAAACACCTGGGTAAACTCTCTTAAGCTGATGACAGAGGGGTAATAGTGTTTCTTTTAAGACCGAATATTTAAAATGATGCACCCACTATGTTTTGCAGTTAGTTCTGACTGAGCTGGAGGGCTCATATTTAAGGTGGGGGTTAATGCTGAGACTGACCTTAGATGTGCTGGCATAATTTGCCTTCAAAGCTTAAGTCCTAAAGAAGAAAGAACCAAGATTATAAAGTCTTGAGGGCATCTGAAACATCAGGAGGATCCACTGGGCAAATAAAAATGCAGTATTTTTATTACGTCCTTCCTTTCTCTCAAACCACCAAATTCTCACAGCCCAAGAAAATTCTCATTCCATTAGTTTTCTTTCTCCACTAAAAGTCAAGTGAGCTGTTGCTCATTAAAGTGTCCCTCTTTGGGAAAATTCAATATATAATGATCCACATTTGTAAAGCAAAAATAAGTATTTAACAGAAGTCCTATAGGATTTCTTTAGACAACTTCTTCAGTGTTTTTCATATAATGAAGTTTTTAAAAAAGATGTACATATAACTTTCCTTAAGTTCCTGAGCTGTATGTGTGTGTACCTGACCATATATGTCAACAAAAACAAAATACTGAAAGGTTATAGACAAATAATTTAAAAAATATATCCCAGTCAAAAAACAGCTGACTTGAAAGAGTAAAGAAAATCAAATAAATACAAAATAAGTTTAGTATCATTCTTCTGCTTTTCCCCCTACCTGGTGAGGTTATCTACTAAAATACTTAAACTAAAGAAAAGTATCTGATCTCATAAGGAATCAATACTTGGACATTAAAAACTTAGGTGGTTACCAGTAGGCAAGAGGAAAAATAATTGCACAGTTTACTTTATAGGGACTTTAGAAACTTCAATGCATCATCTTATTTGTACATGAAAACCCTGAGCTCAGAGCGGTACAAAGACTTATGGCCACATCACTAATCAGTATGGGACATGGTCGTGTCTTCCCACTTTCATGATTTTTTACCAGGTATCAATATTAGTCTTGACAAAAATACACAATGAATTGGGTATTTTTCCATGATAAACATATCCTATATTAATTTTATATACATTTCATATTATTTCAAATTCATCAATATATTAACATTATATGCCAAATGGAAATAAATTAATCCCTTTCTTATATTTTGATCAAGTATCTTTTCAAAAGTCTCTCAATACTATGTAGGATTTAGTGCATCAAATCTAACATGTCATCTCAATATTTAACATTATGTGCAATACTGAGCAATGAGAAGAAGCTAAAACTTCTCTCTTTGTGTGTGGATTTCGGCAATTCTATGCTCCACGTGCAGTGTTGCTGTGCATCAGGGAAACAAAGCTATAAGGTTAATCCAAAGAATAACTTAAAAGCCATTTCAATGGCAATTTCTGTGACTGAGTCATGAAAACAGATGTAAAGTTCCTGAAGTTTGGGATGAAGAAAGAGTCTCCTGTAGAGGAAAAAACAACACTCATTTTAGAAATTCAAAAAATAAAAAACAGAGAAAAACCTTTAACCTTTCAATTTATTTATTTTTGTTTCTGCAAAAATCAGTGGAAAACTAAAAAAAAACCCTAATCTAAATGTACAGAAGGGGGAAATGCAGCTAGATTTATTTTTAAATAAATAATATATGCCATATGTCAATTATTTTTATCTTTCCAGAGTATAAAAAACCTATTTTATCAATGTGTATTGCCATGTTCCTCAGTTTTTAAATATTAGATTTGGTTATTATTACTACAATAAAGACAATGGTGTTATCATTTTAAGTACAATAATTATTAAACATTGCATTTACTTTCTACAGGTCAGTTATTATTAAAACATTAAATACATGATAGCTCTTTATTTTATTTTTTATTTCTTATTTTTTGAGAGGGCATCTCTCATATTTATTTATCAAATGGTTGTTAACAACAATAAAATTCTGTATAGGGGACTCAATGCACAATCATTAATCAACCCCAACCCTAATTCTCAACAGTCTCCAATCTTCTGAAGCATAACGAACAAGTTCTTACATGGTGAACAAGTTCTTACATAGTGAATAAGTTCTTACATGGTGAACAGTGCAAGGGCAGTCATATCACAGAAACTTTTGGTTTTGATCAAGCATCTACATGATAGCTCTTTCTGCAGGTAGTATTGAATTTGGATTAAGATTGAAACTTTATTTTCTTAATTAAAATTTTAATCTATTGAATAAATACTAATGTATATAAATCAAACTATTTAAATCAGGGGTAGTTCTGCCTGACTCCCTTAAATTTCTCTGTTCTACACAGATCTGCACCATTATCATCCAGCCCCTCTTGATTCTCTGTCCAGTTGTGGTGAATGCAGTTAAGGCTTCACTGCCCACCTGTCTGCCTGCTGCTCTTATTTCTGCTCTCTCCTGTGGCCACACCACTCCACTGGCTGCTCCCAGCTTACCCTTCTGACTACACAGCTCTCATCACGCTGCATGGAGCTGGCACTTCCAAGCTTGGCTGCTTACACATCAGAACCACAATGGCGCTGACTTCAAATAGAGCCCCACTGCCCTAGATTCTGGTTCAGTGGGTCTGGGGTGAGGCACAGGCATGTCTGACTTGAACAAGTGACTCAGATGACTCTAAGGCCCAGGGCCTGCACATGGGGATCACTGCTGTGAAGTGTCTGTTTACAGTTTAGTACTACATGGCAGGTGTCCAATACCAGTCTCACTTGACTCTTTGCCCCTTCCTCCACCAATTTATCCCAACACAAAGAAACTTCAGGGTCTCAATGTTTACCTCAAAATTAAATTCCTTAGCCAGGAATTGAAGGCTCTCTGCAGTGGTCTTGAATTGGGGAGAGGGGAAGGGAAGACAGAAAGAAAGGAGGAGAAAGCAAAGAAAAGTAGGAAGTAGGGATGGCAGGAAGGAAACAGCAGCAAAATTGTGGAATCATTACCTTTTAGTGTATTAGTAATACAATTTTGTAAAATAACTGAATAAGCTTTTTTTAATAGAAAAAGACTCGCAAGGAATTTAAAGGAGATACACAGTGAATAAAATTTTGAAATATATTAAAATGTAGTTAGATGAATAATTCCATGTATAAATGTTAATTTCCTTTACCACTTTTCTAACATTTCACTTTCAAATACTTGTTTTTCCCCACTTACCCTACTACCCAGTAAGCCATAACTGGCGGTGCTTTCCTCTGATCAGTCCAGTTTTCAGGTGAGCATTCAAATAACACACCATGTTCCTTCACAGGGTTAAGAGAAGACATTGAATTTGTAGAACCTGAATGATCTCCACCATTTAGTGCTTTCTTTTTCTGTAAATTAATAGCTATTATTAGTATTAACTGATATTAATAGTGTTACTTAAAAATGTTTTCACATAGAGATTTGAATTGGCTGATTCTAGTACTTAAGTGCCTCCAACAACATTCTCTTTTACCTGCAGGAAAATTTCTACCCCTCCTTGTACTTGGTTTATATACCATCTACTGAAAGAGACTTCATGGATAGTGTCCCTTGACTCTCCCAGGGAACATTTTGTTCACAGCCCTATATTATTAGTATTTACTTTATATTATGTTAGCAGTTTATAGGCATGTCTTCTCTGGTAGATTACTTGCTTTCTCCAGAGCAGAGACAATATGCTACTCTATGTATTTTTTTAAAGCAACAGTACCTGGTACATCACTGGTGACTAATGAATGATTACTAATAAGTAGGTTACTAAGTTAATAGCTGATTTTATAATATAGTTAAAACACATATATAAAGCAGTATTGCCTCTTCCTGTGATGCACACTGCCTAAAGTTCCCACTGATTGTATCATTAGCAAAATGACTCCTCTGGACTAGAGATTCTTTGTTAGGCTCAGGCCAAAACAGTGGGGTGATCCTTCATTCTTCTCTTTCTCTCATAATTTTTATCTAATCCATCAACAAATCCTTTTGGTTCACCCTCCAAAATATATCAAGAATCTGGAAATCACTATTACTTTTTGCTTTAAGATTTTCATAGCTTCCTAACTGGTCCCTGCTTCCAGTCTGCTACCCTACAGAGCTTGTTCTTTTTCCTGTAGCCTAAGTGATCCTTTCAAATACTGACTAAGGCTCATGTCCCTCTGCTTAATACCATCCAAGCGCCTCTAATCTCCTTGAGAACAAGCCCCAAACCCTAAAGGCTACCAGGCCACCTGTGATCCAGCCCTGCGGCCTTGCCCATCTCCCCTCCTACCATTCTTCTCCACCGCCCCACCCAGCACCCTCAGCTACTCGGATCTTTGTGGCTGTACATTTGCTGCTCCCTCTGTCTGGAAGATCTGTCTTCAGATTTGCCACATGGCTTGCTTCCTCACTTCATTCAGGTCTTTGTTAAAATATTACCCTATTTGATTATTCCTTTTGACACTTATCCTACCGGACATATTAACTACTTGTTAATTTACTAGCCTTCCACATTAGAATACAGGCTTCATGAGGAAAAGGACTTTGTTGTGTTTACTGTTGTATCCCTAACACCTAGACTAGTGTCTGGTACACAGTAGACACTTCAATATTTAAATAATAGGGGGAAGGCTAATTTATATTATTTAAATATTACTGAATAAATTAATGAAATATTCCCTTATACAATCTATCAGTTATGGTAAACAGAAAAGGAGGAGCACATAGAGATAAACGGTTAAACAGAACATTTTACTGAATACCAACTTCTGATAGCTCAAAAAAACCCTATAACGCAGAGAAATTTACTGCTGAATGAGCCCTAAGACATGATGTAATTCAGCACACTCACTTTATAGCTGAGAAATAGGAAGAGTTGAGGCTCCATCCAGGATTCCTTTAATTCTTCCACCCTTAAGTTCCACAAACTTAGCAACCTTAATACACATATTACTATATGTATATTTATATTAAACATACACACACACACACACACACACACACACACATATCATCTTGAGAGAGTTTTGGTTTTTTTTTTAGCTATATGATGTTTGACCAGTCACAAATGAAACTTATGTATGTTTATCCTTTCCAAGAAATCAACACTTATCTTTCCCTGCCATGAAAACAATCGAAGTGGTATTTTAATTGTATATGACATTAGTATTTATCCAGAAGCTATAACATTAAACAAAACTTCATCCTGGTTTGGAAAGCAGGGAAGAAAGTATGGGCAACAGTATTGTATCTACTGTTGAACCTCACCCCATTATATTGCAAAATACCTTATATCACTGGTGAATACTAAAGGATTATCAGAGTTATCAATGTAGATAATACTGTTCAAGTAATGGTTGAATCACAGATATCAAACATGGGAGACTAATTTATATTACAAACTGCTGTATTCTACTTTGCTATAGACAAACACAGGTGTACCATTTTATGAAATAGAAATCTAGGACATCAAACTCAGAATATAAAACAAAGCTTTGACTATAAATGCAATTAGTATAATCCTTTTGGCACTCAAGGTAGATTGGGTAACAAAGAAAATTAAATGAAAAGTTTTGTTTGACATACTTATTAAAGAGCATTTAGAGAGAATAGTTAGAGATCTGGAAATCAAATTGGTAGAAAGTTATATTTATCGCAGCGCCCTACCTCTTCTACCAATGTCTGTTGGAAAACTGCACGAATGGAGAGACAACACTGATGGAAATTCTTTATTAGCTGGGGGTGGATAGAACCGCTTAGCTGTGCCACCTCTTCATGGGTAGGAGTAATAAAGATCCCTTGCACTGTTTCTAAGGCAACATAGTGGAAAAGTGTGTTCTCAGGACCAGATGTCAATCTTGAAAAGAAAAAGAAAGAACCTATTTAGGTAAACTTAAAAATACTGCTGCAGTCAGAATTTTGTAGACGCCTAATAAGCTTTTATCTACTATATAATATTAGGAGTATAATTAAGAAAGGGGAACTAGGCCAAAGATTTAATTCCCTCTTCTTCCTTAACTGAAATAGTTATTATCAATTCCTTTAATGAAGGCAAATACTACATGTTATGCAAGAATAAATAAATACCAATTCATCTGTTGTAACTTAATCATCCCTTTGCTAAACAACCCAAATTGATTAAACCCCTCTTTTTCCATGGGTTGGTAAAGAATAACTCAGCTCATGTCTGGCCCAGGTATCTACAAGCCATATACAAGACCACATATTAAAAACATCTGACAAACTAAACACTTTCAGTTAGTAGCATTAAAATCTTTTACCATAATAATCAAACTGATGATCCTGAAGAAAAATAAAATTATTACCAACTGTAAAGCTGGGTTAATATTCTAGAATACAATGGCAATTATCAGTAGTATTCTACTACTTCTCATCGTTATAGTCTTCCTTCTCTCCTATGTTCTCTTACTATTTTCATATACCTTTCAGTCTTCTGTTTCTCAATCTTTTATTCCCCTACTTAAATTCTCAGACAGGCCAGCAGAACCCAAAAATACTGCTTATTTCTATCAATGGTTGAAGAGCTAAAGAAGAAAAATAACTGCAACAACAAAACAGTAATAGTCACCATATACTGAATGCCTCTGTGTGCCAGGGTGGGTACTTTAAAATATCTTGGTCTTAATTTCCACAGTGTTTCTGTAAAACGTTGCATATTATGATCTTCATTTTACCCATGAGGAAATCAGTGTGCAGAGGACTTGGATTAACTTGCTTGAGATCATAGAGCTAAGCATCAGGACTTAGCTGACTCTGAAGCGTGTGTCACTACAACTTGCTTTTCCCTCTCCACTGCTGACTTCTGACTGGCAGTCTTTCAATATATGGACAGCAATTCTCCATCTACATCTCAAACACTCAAGCTCTCCCAATCTAATTCTAATGTCTATTAAAAAAATTCCTTCAGCTCATTATTTTCTTATGCATATGCACAGAGGCTAGGAAAAAGCATATTTCAGCTCAGCCTAGATGCTACCTTAATTATCCATGCTAGTTAAATTCCTGTTAAACTGTTAAATGGGCAGCATGATCCGGAAAACCTCTCCTTCATATCACTAACATATGGCCTTGGTTCTCTTTTGAGACCTGAGGTTGGCAGGAAATGAGATCGTCTACAAATTTTTTCTCATACTTTTTCATACCATGGCTGGCTCATTAACTGCTGGTGGCTGATACTTCTCAATCAAGAAAAACTTAAATAATCAAGATGAAAGAAATTCTGATTATTCAAAAAGGAAAATAATTTAAAACGCACATTTTGATCTGGAGGTCTTTGAATTTAAGAAAAAGGTACAGAACAGAAATTATTTTTTTAAAAAGAGCTATTATTAAGATTCCTTTTTAGGGAGGTTTAGAATTAAAACTTGTTATCTTTTTTATTTTCTCTCAAAATTGCCCACAATAAGCCAGTTTAGCACTTGAAAACCAGAAATTCACCCTGTGTATATTAACTCACTTAAGGTATAAACAAAGTTTAAAAAACATCAAACAAGCAATTACCCAATGAAAAAACAAAATATTTATTTAAAAAAAAAGATTAAATCATATTTGTTCTTCAGCAAGGTCGCTCCTGCAGCAGCAAAATGGATTCAGGGTAGGCCAGGAGCTGGGAGACTGTTGCAATAAAACCAGGTGAGAGAATGGAAGCCTGAACATAGGATCATTATGGGTTGAATGGATTCCATAATTATTTTTATTTGGCAAAAACACATATATACAAATTAGGATAACATATTACACCCTGGCTTATATCACACTTTTTAAATTAACTATACAGAATTAAGAACTTTCCATATAAGTAAAGAGAATAAATATGCATGTATATCATTTTTAAAATAGGAGAGCCCATAATTTACATCACATAAAAATGTTTAAGCTACTGAACTTGGGAAAAGAATTGCCTTTTACTAGAGATGAGGGCAAAATAACACACATATTTTAAAAATAAGATAGGGAGATAGCAAAATTTTAGAGCAGTAATTTTTGTTAAATGGAAGATGAGGGTTTGGGGAAGGTGTTGCAAGGTTCCGTGAAAGGTCTGATACAGATTTCTTTGTGTAAAAAATCATTTTAATTATTTAAAAAATTAATAGTAATATTTGAAGGCATTAAATACCAAATTTTAACATATTAGATTTCTAATGTATTATTTCATGCAGACAAGTTACCTTGTTTTTGCCCTGACTTCAGGAAAAAAGCTTTTCCTGACAACTCTGTGACATACATATTTAATTTATTATGTTTGAATGATTAAGAAGGTGGCAGCTCTCAACTTTTTTTGTGTGAATTCTATTTGTACATGTCTACTTGTTCAAATAAAAGCACAGTTGAGTTTGTTACACGAATTGATCCCACACATGATATTGTAATTAAATACCAGGCAAAGCTCAGGCAGGCCTGTTTGTCACTACTTAATAGTTGCATAACAAGAAGTTAATTTGTAACATTTTATGTTTTAATAATCATAAACACTTTAATTTGCTAAACATGCTCCTCTCATCCTTTTACTTCACAACCCTACTTAATGTGAATTTGAGGTTTTACCCTTTTTCTAAAGAGTGTTATAGGCACAGTTCTGTGTGAGAAGCAGTTCTGCACAGAAGAAGTTTATTAGAAAATACTATTGGGACCAACACCTATGGAGTAAGTGTGATGGAAGCAAGATTGAGTGGGGAAGTGAAGCTGAATGCCCTGCTGCTGAAACAGATGTCTTGGCAGACATCACTGTGGGCTCCGAAGCTTGTAGGGCCTTTGGAGTTGTCTTGAAGTTAGCCAAGGGGCCAAGACTTTGTATTTGCTTATTTATTGGTTATTAAATGTGAATTACTCCCAGGGAGAGTTTGTAACCATAGCTAAGCCAATAAATTCCAAATGGGGCAAGTCCAGGGAGGGACTCAGAGCTATTAGCAGCCATCACTCCCAAGCCCTGGGACTGAGTTCTCCGCGCTAAGGAGAATCTGTGCAGTACAACACAGCATGCACCAGCCTAAAAATAGTTGACTCTAATTTAAAAATTAGACAGACAACAGGGAGGTTACTTGTAGAAGAGAGATAAAGGGGTCTTTCACATTTTAAAGTATTACTCTGTGTATTTTTTGTCTCAGAATATGAGCAGGTTTCCTATACATGTAATGAAAAACATTAGAGAAATAGCAGATACTACCTTTAATATTAAGTAAGCTATATCATAATTACATTTCTTGGACAAAATTTCTATCTGTTGTAATACATTCATTTTCTTGATTCTATGCTATTTTCTCATTGTAAAATTTCCTCGAAGACAGAGTTTGAATGGAAAAGAGTATTATAAGGAAGTTTCTTACTTCATTGTGTTATATATTTCCAATTCTTTTTCTGAAAGGTCCTTTTTCAAGTTCCCAAAATGAAATGGATTTGGAAGAGCAGACTTCTTTTTAGTGATCTGGAAAATACAGATCAGGTTATATATAAAAATGGAATCAAACAGTAGAAATAATGTAAAAACTACAAACCCTACTAAGAGAGTTACTTAATGTTTTGCAATGTTTCTTTTAAATATTTTTGACGCTAACTTATACCTCTTGGCTGATCCTCTGCTAAGTGATTCCAGGACCACTTCATAGAAGAACATGACAGTTCTCCCTGAAAACCAACTACCAGAGCCATTACCAAGATTTGCCACATCTTTTATGTATGCATACTTGTTTTCCTCTCTACACTCTTCAAGAGTAAAACTCTACATTCCTCAAAGGCAGGGGCTGTGTCTTACTCATCTTTGCATGTACTTTGTATAGCATGGCTTTTGGCATAAAGTAGATGTTCAACGAACATGTGATGAATGGCTGAATCTCAGACATTAATTCAATTTCTCTTAGGAGCTGTTCATGGATCCTTAAATCTACCTACATCCTCTTAAACTTTATTTCCTACCAATTTCACTGACTGGGATAATGAATACAGACCAATGTGAGTACTTCCTAAACACACCAACTTAGGGCTCTAAGAGTGCTTTACTGTTTGGAATTAGGAGATCAAGTCTGTGGTTATTTATGCTATAACATTTAGAATCTCATAGTTTATGCATGCCCCTTCTCAGGTTCCTCCTCCTTCATGTCTTGGTATCACTTCTATCTATCCAAATGACAGGTTTCAAAAATGTTCTGAAAGAGTAGCATCACTAGAATAAATACAGAGCCTCTTCATGAAAAAAAAAACATAAAAAGCTGATAAATAATCTGAAAAATGAACAATTCTTTTTGCTTTAATAGTCACTTATTGGAGTATGAAGATCAGACCTTCATAGGTGCAGATTTTTAAAAAGCTATAAAAATAACACACACACACATAAAATGCCCCACAACTAGAATGTTCTATGTTAACATCACGAATAGAGAAGAAAGTGATAAATAAAGAAAACAGGATTAAGGAATTTCCCTACTTGGGAGTGGTGCCAAGCACATGTCCTGGGTGTTAAGGGCGATTATTTCATCACTGACATTTCTATGTCTTTTCGGTTCTAAATCATTGGCTTGTCAAGAATGACTAAAACAGCCACCAATTCAAATAAAGAATGATCTGCCCTTAAAAATTCTCTTGAAATTATAAAATAAGGACTGGAAAGACACCTTAGCTCCAAGGTTGTACACACTTGAATGAACACACACCTTCAGCAAGGTCCCGCTTTCTTCTGAACCATCAGAGCTCTGAGATTCTCTTTGCCTTTGTATTGCATCTGGAGTAGTGTGGGGGCTCAGGCCAACACCTTCTCCACTTCCACAATTGTCAGATCCTCCACTGCTTCGTGAAGGACTGGGCTTACGTGTCTTTAGGGAATAGTCACCAAAAAGAGTTCTTCTGCATTTTGGAGAGGTGGCTAGTTTGGAAGTACCTTGTAGCCTACTGAGGATGGGTGATGTTGTCAAACCATCTAATTTTTCATGTGATCCAGCAAGAAACCAGTCAGCACAAGACAAAGAGGGGAGTGAAGATGCTAGCCGTTCATTTATTCGGGAATCTACTCCTTCCAGTTGGTGAAGAGTTGTTTTGACCTGATCGACATAGATACAGTCTGGCCCAGGATTCCCAGTAGCTTTGGATGCACAGCCTCCAGCTTCTAACAGTGCACATAACATATAATGTCGCTGTAAGGAAAAAAGTATGAATATAGGTTTAGCTACATGAAGACATTTATATGCATATATAAATTTATGAATACTAAAGACATCGGGCACAATCATGTGATGATTATTAAAAACTCCCCTTTCCTTCTTATTGTCAATGCTTCTTAATCACTCTTGAAAACAAATCTTATATGACCTTATCCTGATATCCATCAACACTGCTTTTTGGCACATGGAATTCCATAAAGTACCTTTTAAAAGAGCCTCAATTACTAGAATTCCTTTAATTGCCAATACCATATTTACTCTGATTCTATGTTCTGTTTCTGTCTCCCTCTATTTCCCCCCAAAAAATCAGAGGATAAAACCACCACAAAAATGGGAACAAAAGGTCTTAAGAACCTGCTAAAATCTTATTCTGGGTTTCATTAGTATTTCTCCGTGAGTATTAAATGGATGCAAAAGAAAAGGAATAAGGACCATATAACATTTTCTTGAATACTTGTATTTGATATACTCATAATTTTAAATTTACTTTATATATTAATTTAGATAGTAAATATATGACAAAATAAAATAAAAAATTCTCAAGAAAGAAACTAAACTTACCAAGCCAATAATTAGCAAAAAATATCTCCCTTCAGGTTCCTGAAAGACTTCAGTGCTTGAGTCTGTAGAAGGTTGGAGGTGATGTCGAGGAAATACTTCTCTCCATATTACCAATTGACCAATTCTTTGTTTTGCTGCTAAAGGCAGTAGGCAATAGTGGCGACAGTATACAGCAATATCAATAAGATCATCCTTAGGCAAATGACTGCATATCAAATAACCCTTGAATTTAACCACAAAGAACAGAAGTCAACTAGTGATACAAAACAATTATCACATAATATATTTCTAAGAGTTTTTTTTTTTACAGGTACTTCTTGGCTTAAAAAATTACAATTTCAAGTGGAATAAATGAAGACAGTAAAATTTAATGTTTTTCTTCCTGAGGTCCACTAGAGATCAAATATTTATGGTAACTTCAGTCTACAACAGGTAGACTTTAGCACAAAGCAAGATCACTTCTGAGTACAAAATTAACAAAGAACTGAATTCTGAGGATGGAAAACTGAGGAGTTGAGGTGAGGACAGACTTACTTTTCACTGTGTACCATTCTGTATTGTCTGATTTCTTTTTAGACATGTTTTAAGTTCTAAAATATTTCTGAAAATGAAAATACTTAAGTTCATTTGATGCTTTATTTGGTTTATGTGGAACTCAACTACTTAAATTAGAAGATTTACTAAAAAGATACATAGTTATGTCTGAAGATAACTATGCAAAAGGAAATCAACAAAGTATTGTTGTTCTCTCCTACATACTTGGGTTCTTTGTGTATTATTTTTCCTTTATACATTTGCAAATGCTTTAGAATGTAATGAAACCAGAATTATTTTTTGTATTTGTAAGTATGTAGGAACAAGTCTTAAGATCTTAATTTTAAGATACCTATATTAAGAGGAAAAGAATAAATATATTTTTGATGTTTGTGAAAGTTTACTATACGTGTGTTCATATAGCAGTTGGACATTTAAAATATGTCAAGCTTCAACTTACCTTGTAAAATAGAGAACACCCTAAAATTGTATACAGCCGCCTCATGTCATAGTAATCCTCAGACTGGGGAGAAAACCACAATGGATTTACATTTTTTTATTTATGAAGCTACAACACTTAAAATGGCAATTATATTCTTTAGTAACTGAACTTTTCATAGTACCTTCTTTATTCTTTAAAATCAATGTACTAGGGCACTGGGGAGAAGATAATGGGCATATATATTTATTTTTCACTGAGAACAATCGTTTCTGATTCTTGTAAGATGCTGATTAGAGATGTCTGAGAATTAGAACATAAGATTTGTTATCCCAAGAGGGATTAAAACAAGTCTCTCAAACAAAAAGCTTCTTTCTACTATAAATCATCTAAAATATCAAATATTACCATATGCTGTTTTTTTTTAACTTTTTAAATTTTTTAACAGTGGAAAGCATGAATGCAGTCACCCACTACCAGAAATGATGCAGCCGAGTTTCCCACATTTGGGGAAATCGCAGGGGTCAGCACATCTGGAGTGCAATGGATAAACCTTGCCCTGGGAAAACCACCTTTGTGATCATGGTATTTCCCCTGCCAGGTAAGTATATGTTGTTTTTGAAAGTACAAATTGGTATGACCCATTCAGGGGCCACTGAGTAGTATGTAAAAAAATTAAATACACATACCCTTTTAGAATTTCCATTTCTAGAAATCTACAGAAATACTCAAACAAGAGAATCAAGATTTTTGTATAAAAAATTAATACAGAATTATTTGTAATAGGTAAAAACTGGGGATAAAGTGAAAGTCAACGATGGAGCATAGTTAATGAAAATAGTTCATGTTCATACCACATATTATCATATATCTGTTAAAAAAAATAAGGTTGATCTCTATGACCAAAAGGTTTTAGGACATATAAAGAATTCAAACTGAAGAACAGAATACCCACTATGATCTAATTTTGTTAAAAATGGCAGCCCCAATAATATATATGTATTTAAATACTTGTGTGTTGGTTTGTATGTGGATACATATGTGTATAAAGAAAGGTTGGAAGAATACATGCCAGCTATAACAGTTACAACTGGGGGAGAGGGATGAGGAGGGATGATACTTGTTTTTAATAATCATGCTTGCAGTTTTACCAAATGCATGCATTACTTTTAAAACTTAAAAAAAAAAGAACTCTAAATAAAACTAAAAACTGGAAATAATCTAAACATCCCTCCATTGTGGAATGGATGAACACTGTGATATATTCATACAATGAAATACTACTCAGTAACAAAAAGGACTGATACATGCAATGAAATGAATGAATCTCAAATGCAATTTGCTAAGTGAAAGAAGGCAGACCCCCAAAATTACCTACTATGTGATTCAATTATATGACATTCCAGAAAAGGTATAACCATGTGGACAGAAAACATATCAGTGGTTATCAGGTTTTATGGGTAGGGAAAGGGGTTGACTATAAAGGGGCATAGAAGAATTTACAGATGTAAATAATACCTTAATAACAACTTTTAAAAACTGAAGAAAAGAACACAAAATTAGGATGTAAGATTAAATCTTAGATCTAATTTCACACGAAGTTTAGAATAGATCCTTATTTTCATTAAGGTAAATTTCACTGTGAACTGTTCTGTAAGTTTTGACATATGTGTATAGCTGCCTAAGTCCCACCAACATCAAGATCCAGAACAGTTCCATCAACAACCCCTGCCAAATTTTTTGCAGAGGAGTATTCAATTGCATGACTGTAACACGATTTGTCTATTCACCTGTTGATGGACACTGAGTTATCTGAGTTCTTATCAGTTTTTTGCTATTAAAAATAAAGTTGCTGTGAACATTTCTGTACAGATTTTTACCTCAACTAGGCTTTCATTTCTCTTGACTAATTATATAGGAACAGATGGCTAAATCATATGCTATGTGTATGTTTAGGTTATTAAACTGCTAAACTCTTTTCCAAAGTAGTGGTACCTATAGGATATAAATTCTTAAAACTGGATATTTTAATACTTCAGATCTACAGTGCTCCTAATGATTAGTATCTATCTAAACATTATCCATCAAATGTATAACCTATGAAGAGGTCACTATGCTTAAATTTCCATTATTTTTATAAGCAAAATACGCTTCCATTTGGCCAGGGTCTTAAGGCTAAGCCACTCCTTTATGCTAACATCCTTTCCCTACGTTCATCAGCAGTCTTCTCAAGAATGTTCCAGCCTTTACTGTTTCTACTTCCTAGCTTCTCATTCACCTTTTTAAAGAATCTTATTACTGAAAATCTTAGGATATGCAAAAATAGAATAGTATAATTACCTTCAATGTACCAATCACCAACTTCCACTATAACTAAGTACATAGCCAATCTTGATTCATCCACATCCCTCACTCCTTTCCTCTCTGTGCTGAATTATTCAGAATCAATCCCATATGTTATATCATTTCATCTGCAAATACTTCAGAATGTATCTTTAAAACAGAAGGACTTTAAAAGATACAACTATAATACCATTACCATATCTAAAGAATTATTCTCATTTAATGTCCAGTCATCAGTATTTACATTCCCTTGATTGGCTCTTAGATGTTTAAAAAAAATTTTTTTTGTTTGAATCAGGTTCCAAGTAAGGTCCATATATTTAAACTGGTTGACATGTCCTTAAATCTCTTGTAACTGTTAGGTTCTCTCTCACCTTCTCCCTGCTATCCTTCTAATTTATCAAAGAATCTGCCCTGTTGTGTTTCCCAGTTTAGATTTTGCTGACTGCAATCTTCCTCCCTCAAAATAGAGTTATTTAGCATGTCCCTTTCCCCCTGGGATTTCCTATAAATTGGCAGTTAGATCTTGAGGCCTTTGTATATTTCACAGGTAATTTGTATGCTTCCATCGGGAGCTACGTACTATCTGGCTGTTTTTCTTTTGGTAATGTTAGCAGCTACTGATGATCAGTGTTTAGATGAATTCACTGACAAATGGTGATAGACCAATACTGTCATGCTTTCATGATATATTAGGCAGAACACTTTCATAACGAGAAACTCCCTCTGATCTCTGTCTGGTAACATACAGCTATGGTTCAGATAGGAAAATGTTTGCTTCTTCCTCCTTATTTCCCAGTGTTCACAAACACGAGTTGGTTCTCTAGCATCCTCCATAGTTGGCCAGGAAAGTTCTTTTTCTTTTTAGAAACATTATGAACTCATGGTCTTAATCATGTCTGATGTGTTTCAATCTGTGGTAGCTATTATCCTTATAGATGCTTATGTGGAAACTTCTTCAAATTGTCTCTTGATCACTTGAGCCCTACATTAATTCTACTCATTTTTTAGGGCTTCCTGGATTTCTGATATAACATGATGTTTCCAAGTTTATCTTGTACATTTTCAGCCCCAAATCTGAAATCAGTCATTTCTTCTTAGGGGTCTTGGTTCCTTTTAGTGAGAAATATTATTTATATGCCACAGTCTGGGTGCTAGTGGTGTTCATCACTGAAGGATGGTCACAATTACTAGGACTGTTCACTGGACAGAGCTAGGAAATATATTGTTACCATATTGACACTTCCAATTTAAATTCTATAGGGTTTCTACTTGATTTAATCAACATTACACATGTATGTTCTTTTGCTCAAAGCCCAGTTCTTAATGGTACTGATATAACTGATCATTACCTATATATTATGCAACAAATATTTTTAACTGAGTAGAAAAACTTAAGGCAAGCAAAATAGATTTTGACCATGTCAAAATAGAGACCTAATGTTCTGTACTTCATTAGTACATGTGCACTTGGAAAATATTCAGAATAATGACTTATTTACAAAATAAGAAATGAAAATTAAGACTTCTCTAAAATCCACTGCTTCTCTTACCAGTTCTGCGAAATCTGCAGCCTCCAATTCACTCAGTGCTGTGTCTAATTCCATCTAGGTGGGGGTAAAAAAAAGAGTATCACCAACATTTACTTTACATTAGTAGTTTTTAGTAATGTCTATGTAAAAGTGCTTAAAAATTACTTGAAGAATTGAATAAATATCTTTCCCCTTTTCATTTTATAAGAAATGTCCCAAAATGGAACATCTTGTTTTTAAGCTTTGCTACAAACAAAATAATTTATTTAATATATAGGGATTTTTCAGTTAAATCTCAATTTTTACAAAATGGGCTTCAATCTGTATTAAAGGGAAAATCATTTAAGAGGTTAAAAAATTGCTTTCCAGCATTGAGTGAGAATATTTTTTGACCTATTAAAATTCTTCAAGAAAAAAAATCAATCTTAATGTAGCCAATCTACATTGTTTTTATTTGTCTATTTACTCTATATTGAGTGGTTTTATTTTTCTGTTTTCTATATATTTATTAACAGTTGGAGTCTTCGAAAATATCAACATTCTTTCCTGTCTCTCTCCTATGTTCTGTATAAAGAACTGTTAATCTTTATTTATGGATTAAAACATGAAGGCAAGTGTTCCTCTGGAACCTGGCAGCATTTAACTACCCTACAGAGTTATTAGAAAAATCTCCTACTTAGGATTTAGCTTTTGTTTCTATGGAAATTGTCTGAACTCTTTCATGTATTTGTTTCTGAAGCATTCAAAATTTGAAAATAGAATAAAATTAATCTGCAGTTTAATCTGTAATGCATACATATAAACTGAGAACTATTGGTTACTGAAGCTTGTAGCACACATGCTATTTGTGAAAAAGAATTCCCTCCTTCATTTTTTAAAGGCCAAGACACTCTCTGCAGGACTGTTTTATAAACTGTGTCTCACTGAGATGACAAAAGCTTTGGAAACATTAGTCTTGCCTTTCAATGGTTTTCACACAGTGTGACTTATTCTCATTATGACCTACATTTTTTCTATATCCAGCAAATAATTCATGTTCTCCTTTTTGCAGCTATTGTTTCTCTTGCAAAAAACTATAGGACAAAAAGAAAATTGCACACACTTGTGATTCTTCTATCTCAGAAACATTAATGTTTAATGGGCTGTTGTTCATGCTACTGCACTCTATACACTAATGTACAAGGTTATTATGGCTGTTTCTTCATTTTTCTTAAGAGAAAAGGTAAAGTGTCTTTTTCCTTAATTATTACAGCATACCTTAGGAAAAAGGATAAAACAAACAAAATGAGGAAATTCTCAAACACCTGGGAAAGGAAACTGAAGTGAGACCTCATCATATATGAAGCTCAGAGAAAATAAGTTTTTTTCTAAGTTAAAAATAACTATTTCTACCCAAAGTTTATTAGGCACAAGTTACCTCACACACATGTTTTTAATTAGATTTCTTAAGGAAAAAAATTCCTTCATATTTTCCATTAGAAAATATATAGTCAATAAACCTACTGTTTTAACACAGTAAGATATCTCGAAAAGAAAAAGCAAGCATGTAAGTTATTTGGGCTCGCTAGTTAAACAAAAACTTCAAGGGTTATTATGTTCTTCGAACTTTATATTCCTGAGACATTTAGATTATAAGAAGGTATCTTTCTCTCCAAAAATATTAACTTTCTTTGCCTTGAAATGAAACTGTGAGCATCGAGAGGACTCTTCTGTATTCCTCAAAGCATAGCACAAATATGAGTACCTGACACAATGAGGATGACGCAATCTTCATACAGTAGCATCAGACTTAACAAGGATAAAATCAACCAAAGCTTTGGTGAGATAAGCAACAGGTATGATTTAAGGCAACAAATGAAAAAATATACCAGAATTCACAAAGTGATTTCTCAGTTTGATGTTCTTTTAGGTTGAAATAAATAAAAGCATATAGTCCTTTTAATCAAATGTATACTAAATTAAGAAAAAAATGGCAATAAAAAAGATATCTGAATATAGGAGGTAGCCTTCACATAGAATTTATAAGACTAAAATAGGCCATATTTTAAAACTTCTTAGAAGGAAGATTTATTTAGTCTTAATGCATCCAAAGTCTAAAGACATTGTCACTAAAAACATGAAGTAGCTCTTTGTTTCCACAAAGAAGAAACTACATATTTTGAGGGAAGATATTTCTTTAATGAAGAGATTCTGAGACAGGGGAAAGAATCTGGGCACCTGCAAGACCAGAATGGCAGGCCTTAAGAGATGGTACTTTCTGACTTGCAAAATCAGCCTCATATCTTTCGGAAGAAAAAAAGACCCCAGAATGGGCATGAGTCAGACTCTGGAGCCAGGGTCTTTCTACCTTAGAAGTAAAGTTATCTAATTGTCTTCTGTTTATATTGAACACTTAAGATTTCTTATGAAAACACTGGTGGAGGTAGAATTATATATCTCATACTTCTCAGTTTTTATGTGACTTAGGGAAAAAATAATCACTGATCTGAGATATTGAAAGATGCAGCAGTGGTAGCTGACAAAAGCAAGGACAAAATAAAAATGCCAGAAGGTAAATTTCTTTTCAACAGGCTCAAACCCCTCCACTCCTTCTAAATAGTAATTATATAACAGTATTCTCACAACAGAGCTACAATGTGCCAGGCATAATCTGAAGCACTTTATGTATAATAACTCATAACTCTACAAAGTATGTATTATTATTGTCCCCATTTTACACATGAGGAAACTGAGCAAAGCAACTGATATATGAGTTTAGATTATTATTAAACTGTCAAAAGACATTTATTTCATCACATGTTATAGAATTTCACAAAGGGCAGAATCTTGAATTGCATTTTTACTACAACATCGCCTAGGTTTCTTCATGGGTAGGGAACTGGCTATGGCATAGTGTTTCACTTAATACTAATACAAATGCTGTGGCTGAAGAGATTATTGGTGATGAAAATGTCTGAAATGATCTTTCTGATCATTTAATTATTCAAAGTTATTCTGGGTCTATATATATGACTAAAATCACATTGATAATATTTAACCATCATGAAGTCTTTTTTTTTCGTGGGGGGGGGTGAAAGGATTTATTACCCGGCTTATTCTCCCGGCAGTAGGTCGAACACTAGCGTCTCTGCTTCCACCGAGAGCACTGGGCTGAGCTCTCTACACAGTGCAATAATAGCTTATTGCCTAAAGGTGTGGCCATCATGAAGTCTTACCCTTGGTAAACTATCTATGGGACAAGGCAAAAGCTAGTTACATATGTTCATATAAAGAAAGATTTTGCTATTATTAGTGGATTTTGCTATTATTAGCATTTTAGTTAAGAAAGAGACTCATAGAGAAGAGGCTGGTGGTTGTCATGGGGATTGTGGGGTGGAGGGTGAAATAGGTGAGGGGGATAAAGAGGCATGAAATTTCAGTTACAATATAAATTAGTCAAGGGGATGAAAGTACAGCATAGGGAATACAGTCAATATATTGTAATATCTTTGTTGACAGATGGCAACTACACCTATTGTGTGTATTTAGTAATGTATGTAATTGTCTAATCATTGTTGTATACTTGAAAACAATATAATATTGTATATTTCAATAAACAAACAAATAAATAAAAAGGTTCTGTAATACCAAGTGTAGCGGAGTTATGTAGAACAACAGGAACTCTCATTCATGACTGGTAGACGTATAAATTGTTGTGATGACTGTGAAAAACTGTGGCAATATTTATTAAAGCTGAACATTTGCTAATCATATTAAAAAATCCAAAGAATATTACTTAACCAACTTATCTTTAGACTAGAAACAACCCTAATGAACTTGCATTATAAAACTGTCACAAAATTCAAAAGACACACCATATGACTGTGAGCTCCAAGAAGTCCAATTTTAGACAAAACTTAAATGTTAAAATAAGATAAGCTAATTCTATTCAGAAACAAATTTGTCTTTCTAAGCTCACTACACTGGACCTCCTACCTCATCAGTTAATTGCCTCTTTAACTCTTACAATCTTGAAAATAACAAAAAGCCTATGGAAAAAAAAATTATAAGGCAACTGGTTCTGATTCTTATTCATGACATCTAAGTTTACCTTAATTTCCTGTGGAAGTGTGAGCCACCGAACTCCAGGGAGACTGTCTAAGAGTACTGCACTGGAAGCATCATACTGTTGTGCCCTGGGACTGGCAATGGAATGTAGTTTAGCAGGCTGAAGTGCTCTTTGAAAAAACAAGTTGAAAAAATGATCCAAACGAGGAACATTCTCAACCTGGCAAAAGGCACTGAAGAAACAAGAGCTGTAAGTTAGAATAACAAATGGAAACGGTGGTCATCTTTTGTACGCTCCTAAGGGGACTGGATCTTTCCCAACTACACAAGCTCTCTTCCTTGCTCCTCTCTCTTGACAAGAATTACTGCTATATGGTACTGATGGAATGTGTTAAGAAACTCACCCTATCAATATATTTTTTACCCTAAAACCTACTCTCAGATGTACTGATTAGACACTACAATGGAAGAACCAGAGGTCTAATACAAGTGGTACATCTACAATAGGATGGCTGAGGCACCCTTTTGCAAAAAATGTAAGTTGTTTTTTACCTCTGATATCTCTTAACCCTTTACAATGCCCAAGATCTTTCAAGCAACATAATAAAGAGATTTTGAACTTTGTAATAGAATAGATCTGGCTTTGAACTTATTGTTGCTCATCTACTGCAAATTTAAGAAGGTAGTTGATCTTACTTTTACATTGGTTAAATTTTTCCTTATAGGCTTTTTGTAGTTCACACATTTAGAAAATGCTAATAATTAACTAGGTTTGAGAGGGATGTGTCTCCTAAGAGGCTTTTGGAGAATACTGCAAATTAGACAGTTCTCCTGGATGGCACATTCATAGAAAATTCCTTCAAGCTGCTTTGAGAACAGGGACAGCAAAGATCTACTCCAGATAAACAGAGAGCTGGTGTCACTATGGTTTGGAAAATGTATAAATGTCTTTGGATTTTTATATTGATTTACTCTTCAAGCTTTGAAAGTAAAGGTATTGTTTTATTCCTCTGAAGTACTGGGCCTTACAAAAATCCCACAGAGAAATATCTATATTCCATTCATAATTCTACATGTTCAAATGTTGAGCAGTTACCTCAAGTTACCTACTTCAGATCAAGAAAGATGCATCACATTATATTGTAAGGTTTAAAAAGCAAGCAGAAAGGTATGCAACATATGAGCCCACATGTATAAGAAGAGAATTATGTGTGTTAATATTGTACAGAGAATATATGGAAGGATACACATGAAACTAGTCAATTCCTTCTCTGCTGTGTTTTTTATTTACTTATTTTAAGAGTGCATACTTTTTTTGCTAAAAAACTTTTTAAGAAAGACATCACGTTTTTAGATAGTGGTTTTGACAACAATCTTATGATCGCAGAAAACACAACTCATTTTAAAGCTTCTGACTTTGTTCTGTATCTGTTATAAAGACATGCTTTTACGTTTACCCTACAGAAATATATCAAATGAAAATATAATTGTGGTTTCATTACTATTTCACTAAAGTAACATGTGAGACCAAAAAAGAAAAAGCAGTAGAATGAAAAACTTCTGGAAAATAAAGGCCAACCAAGAAACAGCATTAAGTACAAAAGGTGATTGAGAATCATACTTACAACTTAATATTCAATTCAAAGAAGTACTTACCTATCTAAAGAACCATACATAAATTTTAAGGTCTGAGCAACATCTTCTATCATATTCCTTAGCTGAGGAAGAGGAACTCTAAAAAAAGGTAAAAATACATCTATTTACAACCTAATCAAATAATACATATCTAAAAAAACCCAGAACTTCTTTAAAACTTTATATGTAAGGAATATGGAAAGCGTGTGTGCTAAACATGAGTATAGTTGTGCAAAGTGGTTGTTTATTGCATTAGTAATCAAAGACTTTGATGTCGAGATTTGGGGTTCTAACATGGGTCAAGCAGAGACTTTTATGTATCACCATATATGGAAATTATTTAGCCCTCTTTAGGTTTACTTTACTCATGTGTAAAATAGGGCAATAATCACTAAGCCTTTCTCAGGTTCATTTTGAAGATTAAATAAAATCAATGCATATAAAGTAGTGCAGTACCTGGGCCCATAGAAAGAAATGCTATATCTTGATACTTTCCAGTATCACCCAGATCTCCACTGAACCTCCAACTCTCGTGACAAAAAGATACCCCCAAACAAAATGGAAAAAGAAAGTAGAAAAAAAGAAAGGGACTTAACATTTTCTCTTTGAAGCTTTATAAGAATCTACAAAGTAGGTCTTATTATTCCAGTTATACCAATGGTAAACTGAAGTCCAAGAAGCTAAGTAATTTGTGCAAGGACACAAAGGGAGTAGAACCGGCTGGTGGGCACCCATCTCGGCTCCAAAGTTACTCTCTCCACAACCTTACACTGTCTCTAAGGTTAGGTTTCCAGTCTACACTGTAGCCATCACAGGAAGATGATCTCTCCTGCAAAAACACATGTTCCTGGGTTATATGTTCACCCTATCTTCTGTGAGACACTGGTTTTCTCATTCTGCTTTTACCAGACACAGTGAAGAGGGAAGTAAGTGTGCGGACTGTGGCATTAAGACAGACCACATGCACAATGTTGAAGACATCAAGACATGTGAATTGACACCAAAGAGGTGCCTGGGCATGATCTCTCAATATTCTATTTCCCAATTTCAATGAATGAGAATAATAATACCCACCTTTCATAGTTACATGAAGCAAGATGGAATGAAGAAAAGAATCTGGTACAGAATGGCTGGTATGAGGATTAAAGAGGTGGCTAGGGTTTATTTCTAATCTAAAGCTCAGGATAGACAATAAAAGGGATCTTCAAATTCATTCTAAATTACCAATTCAAGTTCTCTAAGATAGGAATGACATATACCGCTAGGAAAGACCTGCCTCCCCCCAAGTTAAAAAGATTGAGAATTTGACTACAGCATTCACTATGTGGCACAACCTTGATCCACTGCTGTCCTTTTTTGTCTTCAGGGTAAAACCTCTCAGGGAAACTCTCTATTTGGCCTCTCTACATGACAGTACATACTACAGTATCTTATTCTGGATGTTCTCCAATTAAAAAAAAATTTCAAAACAACTCAAGTTTTTCACAATTTGACCCAGCATAGGACAGTCTTCTAGCAGGGCCCATTATATAAGTCCCTTTTTAGACAGAAAAACACACATCAGCTGATTAAAGAGAGCCATCATCTAGTATATATCGCAGCACCATTATCCTTCATGTTAAAGATTTTGACCCCTACAGTCATGATAGATCATATTCCTTTCTGTCCAAAATGAAAAACACCTTTAAAATAAAATCATTTTAATATTTTTCACTGCAGCTTCCTTCGGAGTTCCTGTTTATGGTGTTAATTATTTGACACTCTTCCCCTTAAGAGGTAGAGCTTCATTACCCTTCCCTTGAGTATGTGCTGGATTTACTAACTTGCTTCTAACAAATAGTACATGGTGGAAATGACAGTGTATCATGTCTAAGACTAAGTCATAAAAGGTCTTGCAGCTTCCCCCTTTTCCTCTACCTTGGTTCACTTGCTTTGGGGTAAGCCAGCTGACAGTTTTAAGGACACTTAATCAACTCTGTGATGAGGTCTATGCGGCAAGGAGCTAAGGGCTCTGACAACAGCCATGTATGTAAGCCATCTGGAAAGCAGATCCTTTAGTTGGAGTTAAGCCTTCACATGGCTATCCCTGGCCAACGTTTTGACTGCATCCTCAGGAGAGGTTCTGAGCCAGAACCACTCAGCTAACTTGATCGCAGATCCCTGACTCACAACACTTACAAGATAATAAATGTTCACTGTTCGAGTCCCTAAGTTTTGTTATGCAGGAATAGGTAACAAATACACTTTTATATAATTAGAGAAATCTGGTTAACAAAGTCATTAGTAATACAAAACTACCATATTCATGTTCAGATTGGCTGGATAACATATCTTTTTACTCTATCCTTTTCTTTCTTGAGACATTTAGCAATGCCTGAAGAAAATTTATCTAAACTGATATTCTCTGAAGTTGTGTCAACCACCTACTATTGTACTTATTTTTATATTTTATTACCATTTGGTAGATAATTTACAATGTTTCTAAGGACCAAAGGGAAAACTAAAGTGTGTTTAGTAGTTTAATAGAAATTGCCCGATTATTATTATTTTTTTATTAAGGTATCATTGATATACTCTTATGAAGGTTTCACAAAAAGAACAATGTACTTATTACATTCACTCTTATTGATTCCCCACCCATACCCCATTGCAGTCACTGTCTATCAGTGTATCAGTGTAGTAAGATGCCACAGAGTCTCTATTTGTCTTCTCTCAGCTACACTGTCTTCCCCATGATCCCACACACACCATCTTCCACCAATCATGATACCCTACAATCCTGCCCAACTGTAAGCAAGAGTCTAAATTGCAAGGTTTAAAAAAATCAATGAACAAGGACATAGAATGGATAAAGAAGATGTGGTACATATACACAATGGAATAGTACTCAGCCATAAGAAAAATACAAATCCTACCATTTGCAACAACATGGATGGAGCTAGAAGGTATTATGCTCAGTGAAATAAGTCAGGCGGAGAAAGACAAGTATCAAATGATTTCACTCATCTGTGGAGTATATGAACAAAGAAAAAACCTGAAGGAACAAAACAGCAGCAGATTCATAGAACCCAAGAATGGACTAACAGTTACCAAAGGGAAAGGGACTGGGGATGGGTGGGAAGGGAGGGATGAGGGTAAAAAGGGGCATTATGATTAGCACACATAATGTGGTGGTGGGGACAGGGAAGGCAGTATAGCACAGAGAAGACAAGTAGTGACTACAGCATCTTACTATGCTGATGGACAGTGACTGGAATGGGGTATGTGGTGGGGACTTGATAATGTGGGGAATCTAGTAACCACAATGTTGCTCATATAATTGTATATTAATGATACCAAAAAAAAAAGAAAACAAGGACATAAGACTAGTCTGACAGTAGTTAAATCCCTCTTCTTGGGGCTGTTCTCCATATTCCTGTGTATTTCCACTCCCATCCAACCCCAGCTTTTAATGTCCTACAACATTAGGGAAGCAATGTAGTACAAAGAATACAGATAGACTCTCATTCAATTTCCAATTTTGCCTCTTGCTGATTATGTGACCTTTGGCAATTATTTAACCTTCTCTTAGTTTCACTTTCCTTGTTTATAAAATGGGGCCAGTATCACTAAGTACATTTGGAGCTGATTTTGAAGATTAAATGAGATTAATGGAGTAAAGTACCTACTGCAGTCATTAGGTTCATGGTCAGCTCACTAGAAATATTAAACCTGCTCTTACCTCCAACTATAAAAATAAGATATTTCACAGCACTTTGCAAAAAGTTAAGAAGACTTATGATTGGGTTAAAGATGGCGGCGTGAGAGGAGAGATAGAAGCTTCCTCCTAAAACTGGATACAATTAGAAAATTTAATTGGCGCAACTAATCCTGAGAAAGCAACAGGAAAGAGGACAGGGCCAGACTGCATATACCTGGAGAAAAGAGCAGACCTCACCAAACGGCGTAACGTACCAAAGCTGTGGCCTGGAAGGACCCAAGCCCTTACCCCATACCAGCACACTGGCAGGAGGAAGACAAACAGAGCAGGGAGGGAATGGAAGGCCTGGGACTGCGGAAAACCTAGCTCAGAGATCTCTGGGAGCACAAACCTACATTTCATGGTGCTTTCATGAGACTCGCATGACTACCGGGTTGGAAAGTTAATACAGGCAGAGTTTCTGGGGAGACTGGGATTCTGGCCGCTTGTGGAAAGCAGGGATCCATATCCAGCTGCTCTGGGA